GGTCGCAGAAAAACTGTTAGTAAGTTATCATAATATTATATCTTATTACTCAAATTTGAACTGGAACTTAATTCTTTCTTGGAATCAATGCTATTTAAAAATAACAGGCTAAATTAAATAAAAAAACTAAGATGTACTTTTAGATCGAAATGCTTAAACCTGAATTTTAATCGTGATATATTCAAACAGAGAATAAAATCAAAGTGCAAAATAGTAAGTATTATAATTTGAAAGTACGGGTACATTCACAAATTCTAAGTACTAATACATACAAGCAAATTAAATGCTACGAAAAACAGTACCGCAATATACAAGTAGGACAAATTAGAGGGAATGGAATATAGTTTACTTTAAGTTAAAGTTATTACGGTCCTCTAGAAACAAGCACTCGGAGGCCCGTCGAGCGCGGGGGTCAAGTGCCCAATTTGTCACCCGCGCAAACTTCCCACTACTCTGGCCTGTTCGATTCCATTAAAATTTCAAGACCTTTTCGGGCTAATTTCTTGTTTGGTACCAAGATTTACTTAACACCTGAACTGCCAATACTTCACTTGTTCAGGTTTTATTTCATATGATTCACAAAATATAATAAGTATAAATCACTAGCTAAATGTGTTGCTGATCGCAATGTTCAATTCGTTAAAATCTGAAGAAGACGCAAATATGAGACAAAAAATTGAAATAATTAGAAATCACACTTTATTCCCATACTACATTATTACATACTGTGTCCATACGAAATGTTCATCTGTCAACAGAAAAGTGCCGAGTGCCAAACATTTCATGCCAAAAAATAAGTATTTAAAATGTACAGTTATTGTAACAAACTTATGTCCTTTACTGAAAACTAATAAAGTTTAAAACTATATAAATTTGCCTATTTGCATTAGAACACTATTGAAAATATCTCTATTGAAATTGAATATAGACTGTTTTTGAGAATAACGTGGCATAAAATTATCTGTCAATGGTAATAATATTATTTATTTAATTCCTTCGAACAGTAATAAGTTTGAAGCATCCCATTAGCTTTTAATCAGAATACCTATGACAGGAATCGCCTCGCTCCTTCAAAAGTATAGTATCCATGAAACGAAATAAATATTAACATGACCTTTTTCACTTTTGAAGTACAATTAAACTTTATAGCTGGATTTCAATAGAATAATTATAATTTCAAAATATAACATTTTCAGAACAAAGTGTTATATTATTTGTATAGTCATTTCTTCGTCAGCTAAATAAAATAATGGAAAACTATTCTGATATCAGCCCTCAATTTTTAAACATAATTGATTAGTAAAATGTAATGTAACGACGTAAAGGTAAGGTCATTTATATTGAGATATGTATTAATGAAATTTTCTCGAAAGAAGCTTTAAAAAGTGGAAAAGAGCAGATAATACATATCGATTAATATATAACTCATATATGAGATTGATATGTGAGCCTTTTTCTAATAATACTTTATAGTTTTTAATGCCTACAAATTTCTTTTACCCTTTATTCTGCGTTGTGTAAACTATCTCTGACGAGTCTTGTGATTCTCACTAACTTTAATAGACTCGTAACTCGAAGTCTAATATTTTTTTCATTATCATTATCAGTCTATAAATCTTTCTATAGCTGGTACTTAAACCTTAACGTATCAACCACTGCATAATCGAGCATTATTTACATCAATTAAAATTAAAGTTTTATTTAATTAAAATTTGGTGAACATTATCCTGTTTCAAAAAAAAAAGATGACATTACCAAAAAATTATAAAATAAATCTTTTCGGATTTGGACTAAGATTTTGGCTATTTCTCAGTAAAAGAACAAATCCGAGCTGTATCTATTCTCCCCGGGACACTTACAATCCGCTATCATCATAAAAATTAAATTACGGTAAGAGTTCTTCTGTAAGTGCGCGCCGTTTCAGCGGGACGCGGCCGTAGGGCTGTTCACCACATCAAAGCACCCCGGCCTACATAGAGCTCTCGCCCAAATTAAATTTAGCAGCTTTCTTCTTTCGTTAAATTCTTGAAACGCTACCGAACGTCCGCGTACGCCTGCAAACTACCCACATAATTCGGAGACATTTCACTCTCTCATATAAATAAGTATATATAAATATTATTAATGAAAAATGTATATATTCTTAATGAAAAATGTTTAAAACCACTTTGTCCCTGGCACTCTGAGATGGGACTCTAACTCATGACCTTGTTACGGTGTGCCATACCACCATTTGATTCGTGCTAGGTTTCATCATGCAAACTTAATGTCTTTGATATTCAAAATCATTTCTTTTCATTATTCACCTTTCGTAATTTGAAATTTTGACTAATCCAATATGCTCTTTATGAATGTCAGTAAAAAAATCATCTGTTGTGAACATGTTATTGTAAATCGTATAAATTTAAAAATAAGCTATTATAATAATGAAGTTATTATGATTAAAATAGAAATTATATATGATTTAAAATAAAATTATATCTTAAAATTCACGTCCAAGTATACGTATCACGGCAAACCCAAAAATGGGCATGTATTTGTTCCATTTAGCAAAGTGGATTTTTTAGCATTTTTCATTAAGAATATTTTTCAGTATAGCATTGTGAATGCACAATTGGCCAAATAAAATAGTGACAAATCAAATCAAATGATTTAAAATAAACTCGACTTCAAGTGTGAAATATTTTTATTTAAAATATTGTCAACAACTTTTTTCTAAGCCAAAAATTTTATCGCTGCTTTGGCATAACAGACTTGTCCCAATCTTGATTGGAAACGCTATCGAAATTCATAAGTCTTTTGTTAAGTGTGTGTCCAAATTCACAATGGCGCAGGTATATAAAAGTGGCTGAGTTTTTTCGCATAATACAATACGACTATAAATACTTTTTAAAATTTTTATTTCACTTAATTAAGTTTAGCATTACAAAGAACCAGTCAAAAGGTTAGGTAAGGTTAGAGATGTGACCGAAATATTCTCAATAACAATTACCTTCATCACATCTTTAAAAATATATAATTACGTAGGTACGCTAAAAGAAGAACCTGACTTTCGAATTCATTAATTTTCATAGTTTGCTCTATAAATATATGCCATTCAGGTTTCTGCATAATATCTTTATGACATAAAAAATTCTGCCAAAAAGAAGAGATTCGTTAAAACTTTTACAGTTTCATGTGAGCCACTATTAGAGTAAAGTATCATATAAATCATATATACCTTCTAATCTATTAAGGTTTAAAAATTTCAGATATAAGTTTTACTTTCCACATCACTGAATCTACTATTACTCGATATCTACTCGATATTTCAGCCACTGATTGTATATTATTTTGCAGCGAATACAAAATTTGTTGATACTTTTATCCCAACCAAATTACTTTTACAAATTTACTCTCACAATTTGGCAGTAAGCATTCTAAATTCAAAACATAAACAACAGTAAAACTTCTTAACACAAAAAGAATTAAAGTGAGTTCTTAACGTACACACGCCAGCATCGAAATCAAGTGGCTAATTTGTCAACGGGAACAAACTTACTACGGACTTTACTAAGTACCTTGCTACGGATTCTGCGAAGTACCAAGTCTACGGACTACGGTTCTACGATTCGATTAAACTTAGACCGAATCGGATACGCAGACAAGGCCTACTTAACACAACTCAGTAGGTATACTAACTACGGAAATTTAATTAGCTAACTCGTTTCGAGAATGTTCCGTGTGTAGGGGAGAATTCCCTACCAATCTCGTCCACTATTGAGAAAAGTTCATTGTGTGATAGGAAATCAATGGTGCAATGATAACTAGACTATGTAGGGACAATTCGTTATGGGAATTAATTTTATATGGGGTTGATACATACAATATAAGTAACATTTAGTATCGATTAAGTATCTATTTCATTAATAAAACAACGAGTCATGTTTAGTTATAATCAGCACCAAGCTTCAAATATTTCCAATTGTATTATAATTTATATTGAGTCAATAAGTCAATAGTCACTTTTATCTTAGATGGCGAAATACTTATGACCTCCGTAACCGAGTTTTCCTACAGCGGTTACAAGGTTGGGCGTTCTCTGAGGACCCGGGTTTGATTTCCAATCGGGTCAATGTAGAAATGAAATTTTTCATATTGTCTCGTGTTGTGGTACCTTCGTTGTCTCAGATACTCCATAATGTAAGGGCTTTAGCTAGTTATAAAATACAATATTTATTTAATTAATTAACTTATGCATCCACGATAATAAACGACTTTCTCACAGACTGATTATTGGATAGCGATCAAAGCTGTATTAAATTCTATAACTTGAATTTATTTGATGACTCTAGAATTTATTCTAAAGAAATTTTAGAATTACTAATAACACGTGAAAGGTGTCGTTATAATAATGAATGTATTAAAAATTTTTTTTTTCAACTCCAGAACTAAGCCAAGCGTTAACGTATCGAAGTCCACGTCAAGTTTAATACATCCTAACAAAATAACAGAAATGTTCAGTTAGTTCCAAAATATAAATACAAATTTATAACTATTTCAACTCACCAGAGATACTGGCGCGTAACTTCTAGGGACCAAATTGTTTTGTGTTATGTTTAACTTCATAATAAACAATTTGAATAGCATAAAAAAGGAACTTGTGTGTGCGTGAATATTATAAAAAACTCTACTTTCAATTTGTTAGTACCGTTTGCTGAAAGTATATCACTTGTGTAGCAAATTTCATTTTAATTGACTTAACTATATCAATGTAAATGCAGTAAAATGGCTGACGGCTAATTGAATAATTTATGAGTATCTTCATGAATGGCCTTCATTTTAGTGTTTATATAGATATAAAATCTTAACAAACTCGATACTAATATATGCAACATAAAATACATACATAAGGTATTACGAGCATTTACTTCTAACTTATTCCACGAAAATTTTACTATTTAGTAATGTGCATACAAAGATGGCTACTAACCTCATGCCTATACGGATATATTTTTAAATCACGTACCTTCAGATAGATAGAGGCGGTCGGGTTCCGAGGGCTGTTCACACGGCACGGGACGATGTCGCAACGTGACGTGTAACGATGGACCACGCGGCGGCACTTCGGGTGGGGCCGGCTCCGGCGGCGATTCACACTCGCGTTCACTTGTCTGACCGCCATTATTCACAGTGCCTTCAAAGAGAGCGTTTCATTACAAAAACATATCAATAAAATACTTTTTGTCATAACCTGTTTAAAACAAAAACTAATCAGCAACACTCTGAATATTTCGTTTGTTACCATACAATTAATTTAACGTTCACTTATGATCTTTATTTATGATTTAGATTAAGATCCATATTGGGACTTTTTTTAATTTTATGAATTGAATTATTATTACTACGTTGTAACGGACTGTTACATGGACGAATTCACTACTTATTTGGAGGATATTTTACTTACAAATAATTACTTAAATATTTAGTAAGCAAAAGAATTTAAAAGAAATGTAACAAAAATTATGATGTGTTAGCCCCATTCTGTAAAATATTACCCGCAGAAGATAACAAACAAATATAAAGATAAAGTTAAAAATAGATATAATAAAAAAGAGATAGGAAATTATTATGGTAAAAGATGTTTCAAGTATGTATTCTATCTTGTATAAGAAAATGAGTGTTAATAATCGTTAACAAGCTGCTCTACACTTTTGCGAAAACAATTAATTACTATAATTCTAGAATGTTTGTAGTGATTAAATGTTTTTTTATTTATATATTTTATTACATTTTACGGGTAAATATAGTTCCAATAAATGATTCAACTTTTTGGCCTGCTATGTTATATTAACTGTAAAATATTGACAATCGCACAAAGATATCTTAGGATTCGTAATAAACACAATTCCACGCACCCCATATATGTACGTGCCTCTACCACGTGCTTTCAGGAAACTATGCGAAGCATCCTTATCAAAGGTATGCACCCATCATAGTATAATGCTTGTGATAGATATACAGAATGTCTAACTACAATAACTAAAGAGGAATTCAACGTTGTATGTGTGCAATTCCTTACATTTCCTGATGACGAAATTAATAATACCGAGCGTAATGTCATGATTGCATCTCTGTTATTGATAGAAATATAATACTAGGTATAGATGCTTTACTAATGAGATTAAATAATTATGTTTATGTATACGTTGCGATTTTCCATAAATAAAATACAGGAAATGGCCTTGATAAAAAATATTTCAGCGGCCAATCCTAACTAAATTAAAAACCATCATTTACTTGTCTTACTTGGCTTATATATATGACAACAAAAAATCATTTGTTTTACCATTGTTGAGGCAATGTCGGGCATTCCTAGCATTATTTTCGAGTGTGAAATCTTCGGCGCGTCTTCGCCGTGAGAGAGTACCGCCTGTCGTTTCGCCATTGTATAATTCTTCACCTTCAAAATAATAAAAATATGTTTAGTAAAAATCTAAGCAGTTTCTTTCGTTTTTTTTATCATCCAATTTCTCGGTGCATTTGTTTAATGGCACTCTCAAATTAATATATATAAACTGTATTGATAATATAATTATAAATTCATATTTATAATTATATTATCAATACAGATAAGAATATCGCTTATGCTAAATCTTTTTTAAATATATTATTAATATAAGCATTTAGAAATATATGATATCAAATTTATAGTGGAGCGCCACTAATCAAACTTTGACAGTTTTCATCTCTTATAGGCCCTACAGACACACGCCGAGAACCTCGAGTACACCCGAGACACGAGAATTTGATATGTTTCTCGCCTTGGTGTGGTCTCCGTTTGTTGTCGGTTTTTAGCCCGCTTCAAAAGGATTTCTCGGGCGAGAAAGAGAACACCAACATTTTCGTTTGATTTAGAGCATCGTGAGTTTAATTATTTGTGTATTAATTGGATATTAATTGACCTTTTTCTATTTGGATGGATTTTTAACATTCACCATCGTCCGGGTCTCTTTCTTCGATTTTTTGAGAAGGTTCGTTGAGACTTCTCGGCGTAAGTCTGAACAGCTGTCAGTCTGTATTAGATTATTTTGTGAAAAAAGGAAAGTAACTTAATATGGAATATTATACCCTACAGCAGTATTCTCTGTTTTTTTTTTTAAATTGTTCTTTATAAAAAAAATAATAGATAATATAAACAATAAGCCAAATAAATCCACTAGATTATTGTAGATTTCCTCGACCTATTGAAAATCTACGATTTTTCCTGTTAGACACAATTTAAGCCTGGACACACATTCGTTTTCTGTTTCCTGATCAGGAATTCCGATTCGAAGATATGCGCATCTTTCATACAAAATATACGGCGACATGCACACATTCATTTAGTTTTCAGTTCGGGATAACCCTACGTGCATATGACAGACACACAAGAAATGGAACAATATCGTATTACAGTTTTTCAAATAAGGGAGATACTATTCTATATTAGGTTATTTTCCTCTACATAGTTTAGAAGTACACTCATAATAATTAATTATTGCATTGGTAGTTTTGTACTTCAAAATTTAGATAAAATACGAGATCTGGGCATCCTATTTGATAGTAAACTAACTTTTGTCCCCCATATAAATAGTATCACGAATCGGACCTCTCGTATGTTGGGGTTTGTGCTCCGTAATTGTAAGGTTTTTCGAAAATATAAAACTAAGACATTACTCTTCAATAATCTAGTGAGAAGTATTGTGGAGTATGGGAGTGTTATCTGGAGACCACACTATGCAATACATTCTTTGCGTTTAGAAAGAATTCAAAAAAGATTTTTATGGCGTCTCTTACACTGTTCTGGTATATCTAAAAAGAAACTGCCCTCGTACCAGAGCCGCCTATCACATTTCAATGTAACTTCCTTGGAAAACCGTAGAGATCTAATTGATATTTTTTTTATTTCCAAAATACTATCTCATGAAATAGATTGCCGTAAACTGCTTGAGAAAATTAAACTGCGAGTACCCTTCAGATATCCTCGCAACAGAGTCACTCCACTAAGCGTTCCACTGCGTAGAACTGTTCTCGGTTCTAATTCACCAATATGTAGGATATGTAAATTGGTAAATAAATATAGTAACCCAATAGATATTTATTACGACTCACTTTCAAAGATCCGTAGGACTTTTTTAGAACTGTGGAGTTAATTTTTTTTAACATAAGTATAATAGTCTGATCTTGTTTTTCTTTTTCAAATAATTAATTGGTATAAATAACAATGTAACTTCTTTTCTCATAGTCTAGTGTAAAAGTGTAGTTTCTTACTTACTCTATGTTCTGGTGCATGTTGTGTTTACCTATAAGTGTTTGTGACAATTAATTATTTAACTTAAAATTTATTGTAACTTGAATGTATGTAATATTGAACACATGCGTTGGTAAACCTTAAATAAATAAATAAATAAATAATTCATAATAATGCATTAAATTCAATTATGAATAATAGATTTTACTTAATAAAGTTTAAAAGAAAATCAAATCGACTAGTAGAACAGCTATTATTGAGCTTCCAATGAAACTAGATATCAAAAGCAGCGTATTTCTATCTGTTGTAAAGGGTCTTTGCAATTGTGTATACTTAATTAACTAACTATCCAACTAAATCGGAGCTGTATTGACATGAGATGTCCCCATGGAGATGTCTAATCAATTCAGTAGCCGGAGCTTAATTATCTTCACGCAGTGCCAGTTACGGGGCACTCCAAGAAATCGTACTAATAATATCTTGCCTATTAATTTACTATTGCCTTTGTAAGCTTGTAATGATACATTCATGTTAAGCAACTTGTCTTTATATATATGACTATTAATCGATGTTCTATTTCTAAAAGTTAGCTTAGATAGCCACGAAACGTAATTAAATTGTATCTTTTAATAGTAAAAGTAAACTAAGTAACATTATTTTTTATAACGAAGATCTTTAGGTACCATATAGTGATAAAAAATATTTATAATAGTAACCAGTGTGACTATTCGTATTTTCTACAAAGCAATTTAAAGTTGAAAGAGCATTCACGACATTATTATAAAACTAATTAGGACGTATTAAAGTGTTTTTCAAACTTGTATAGTACCAATTTTACTATTTGGGAAAGTCAATTACTTTTTCACGTAAAATAAAGAAGTTATCTAAAAAAGGACTTTGGTGAAAAGTATACGGATAATTCTAAGTCTGAATTAATAGATAAGCTACTTTTCATACCAAATGGTTCTCTAAGGGTACTAAGTTATTTTTTCATTCTAATAAAATAATTAACTAAAATAATTTTGCATTTAAACATAGTATATGCTAGACGAGAAACGAATTCAATCTCTACAGCTAGTACTACTGAGCACAGAACAGAGAAAGGGAAGCCTTGACTTATCCAGTGAACTAAGAACTTTCTCTTTGAAAATTTACTAAATTTTATTTCAAGGATGATAAACGTAAGAATATTAACTTAAGAAACCAATTCTTACAATTGAATAACATAATTTCCTGGGCGCCCCAGTAGTAATTACTTTAAAATATGTCATTAACACACACAAATTACCTTTGGAGTCCCTGTTTCGCCTATAGAATCGTCTGTTGGTACTTTCGTGTGGAAATGGCGAAGCTTGCCGTTGGGGGCTGCTGACATAGCGGGGGGGATCCTCAACTCCCTGCGACCCGTATATACGACGCTGTTCATCTGTTAACAACCGAAAATATTTATATTATGTGCACCTAGTGATAAATCACAATAATGACGTTCGTGGTCGACTAGTTAGCTGTTTCTAGTACAAAAAAAATATCGACTTCAAAAACGTGAAAATAATACTCATTATTTTATTACTTCAGTCAACAAAAAACATGGGAAAATACAATACGCGATCTTTTGTTTTACTCGATGGTATAAACGTGTCATCTAAGTTTTTTTCGTTCTTTATTATTAGCAAGACGTTTCCTGTTACTTTGCTATAGAAACGGCTTAATTGTAAAATTTAAATAAATTATGAAAATCGGTTTTTAAATTCGCATAGGAATCAGTGAACATATATAAAAAAACACCATATCCGTACATCGAAGATAGAACGTCCTACTTTTCGCTTTCGAAGTCAGTTCAAAATGAACAATTCTCAATCTCTTTTATAATCTACAATCTTCGATAATACTTCGTGGAATCTTATCAATCGAACTGAAATAAGCAGGACGTGTAATCATTGGCACGATTTAATGTATTCTGGTCCAACATTGGTGAGGATATACTATACTACACACGAAGTTTTTTCCTTATGTCAAACCATTAAACAAAATACCAAAAGAGCAACAATCTACTTTTGTAGAGTACCACTTGAAGAACCTTGATATTTTGCAGGCCCCTTACTTACATGTGGTTTATTATCACAGACACTTACTCGAAATGGCTTGATGTTTTATTTAAGAAATTCAAAACTTTCTTTGCAACTATAATAAAACTAGATGGCGTATTTTCAACTATCAGAATACCTAAGAGGCCATCCATTAATCACGTGATGTTTTTTTAACATTTATAAACCCTTTGGTGATACATGGTGAGGTTTAAGACTAACCCGCCATCCATCCAAATTACGTTTATTTTTAGTACCTACAAAAAATGTTTTTGACATCGCTTTTGGATTTAGTAATCGCGCATTTAAGGAAAAAATAAATACACGCGATATATTATTACACCCCCCTCGCCCTTGTGATATTTCGTGATTTTTGAGGAATCCCCTCTCCTTCTTTTAGAGCCTAACGTGATTAATGGACGTCCTCTAAGTATATAGAAACAGATAACGTACCCCAGTTTGTTTCAGGATTTAAAAAGTACTGCAATCTTATCGAAATAAAGCATATCAAAACAACACCATATCATCCCAAAACAAGTGGTTTAGCTGAACAAACTGTACGTACAAATATTTCAGGAATATATTTTAGCAGCAAATAAGAACATTACTTTGTATAAACAATTAAGCGCCTTTTACGAGCATATAGAAATACGCACAGAAATTCGAATTGTAAGATTAACACCATATGAAGTAATATTAAACAGTAGAATGACAACAAGCTTTGATTTGTGGAAATCAAATATCACTGACAAGTTAAATAAAATTCAACTACAACAACAATTACAGCTAATACGTAAAGAAGTCATACAAAATTGGAGATAAAGTGCGGATAAATAAACCTAACCAAAAACGATCGGAACCCAGAGTAATAATAGAAAGAACTGGACCTTATTCCTACATAACCACAGCAAACGGCATTAGGAAACGGAAATATGTCGACCAGATTGGAACCAGATATAATAACGAAATGAAGTTAGACAGTATCCCTCAAGCAGTGCAACAATATAAGAACTTTACATATTTTAAATCGATCCAGTTAAAATTTCGCAAGATCCCCCATCTTACTCAACGCGTGGCTGCTACTTGCCAGCTACTATCAGTAAAGATCCTGCAGCAGCAACCACCCCGTTTGCGGCATCGGCTGCTCTACCAAGACGCTCAGAACGCCTACAGAGGCAACGACACACTCTATACTATGACGCTGTCTAAGTATGTTGCTATGACAATGTTTTCCTTGTTACCAATGAAAAATATAATCGTATTTAATTTAAAGTATATCTGGGAGCACGGAAGTGCTCCCACCGTGTCAAACAAAAAAAGGCACTGCTGCACCATCCCTTTCTCGAAGGCATTCGGTCCATTTTTGTCCATTTGCAACTACGTTATGGAGTAAATTAGAAGCCTAAATTGTCAGTGACCAAGAAGGCATCACATAACAAGATACATTTCCAAATCACATTAAATTTGAAAGTTTAAGAATTATTTCAACTCAAAATATCTTAATTTTGTCACTGACTGGCTCATAGATCATCAAAATTCTAAGGTGCTTTTAACAGACCCACGGGCTCCAAATTTTGAACACTGTTATAATTTTTAGCATAAAAAACAAGAAAAATTCTAACATTCAAAATATTTGTCCCCTTTTTTATATTTTTTTATTATTTATAACTGTACAGCATTTTGAAAACATCCGTCAATATGTTGCTTAGTAACACAAACCATAGAGAATTTTACAAACATTTACCGAAGAGTAAATAAAATATACATATTTAATATCTATGATAAAGTAACTATTATCATAGGAAATGCTTTGGAAAAGCTATTTACATTTAAATATAATTATGCATACCATATATATATAAATCTATGTGGAGTATAGAGTGGACCAACGAACGGTCAAAAAATGGAACCAAATGAGCTTCGTCAATGTATCCATAGGTATAATGATCGATACATAAAAGACAAGGGCTAAGTTGATTCTTCAGTATTTAATGTGGTCAAGCATATGTAAAGTAGCTTGGTTTATCTAATAGTATTCATACTTGTGGTAGAGTTTTTTTATGTTGGTATGCAAACATTAAAATAATAAACCTCACCTTTTTATTATTAAATATTTGAGAGACATTATTCATTTCAACGACCATAGATCTTAGTTAATATAGAAAAAAGGTAATTCTCAGAATCGTGTGTGATTGGAAGAGATGCCAAAGCCGTAGTAATAACCAAACATATCAACCATGTAGATTCTCTTAGGCAAAAAAACTAGGACAATTCACGGAGATTATATAATAATTTTGAAATTTTGGTGATAAATGATTTTTTGTAAATATAAACTTTAAAACAATTCGAATTGGAGCGTTAGAACAACTTTACAATTCACAACCATTTATTTCCACTAAAGAGTCAAAAAACGTGACAGTACAAAATTAATGGATCATTTTAAATTAATACGGCAGAGCAAAACATATTTTTCAAGTGGGTATTTTAATTAAATGCTTATCGGGCACTTCCAATAACACGGCTCGAAATACCTCGAAACTTCAATCATAAATTGTAGCGAACAACAAAATTGACTTATTGAGAAGTCCAAATTCCTCTTTTCCCAAAATAGGTTCGAATAAAAGTTAAAGGAAAGTTAAGGATTTATGAGATGGTTTATTTGTATAGGTAATTCTAAACAATAACGAAATATGTGCCTTTAGCTCAGTGAAATTTCAAGAGAGCCAGGGGCGCCACGACCCGACTACCATTGCAAACAAACTCTGCAACGAGAGGCATTCACCTAAAACAATACTCACTATGTTTATATTCATACGTGCTATAATGGCCACCGCAAGACATAGCTACAACAAACAACATGAAGAGCTCCTTTATCCATAGTAGTATACTTTGCTTTAGGTATAATATCTTGCTCTTCTATTTATGGGCATCTCTGCAATTTGATTTCTATTTGGGCTGTATTGTATGTGACGACCAAAAACTAGACGCAGGAATGGCAGCTCACGATATAATTAGATAGTATATATTGCCAAGATAAGTGAGATAGTTTCTTGGAAATGGTGAGATTTGATTCGGGTAAGTAATCCATAGAACTGACGAGAATACTAAGCAGTAAGTATATATATATATATATGTGTGTGTGTCAAGAGCTTGATTATATTTGCATACTATTTATCTCTGAGTGGATATTACAATATTTATTAGTGCAGCTGCACCTGAGGAAAATATTCGATCCCTATAAATCAGTAATGCTGACAAAATTATCCGTCCAATTTTTAATGCTAGGTTGACGCTTAGTAACACAATTGTAAGGAATAATTTTAGATTCATCATCGTTTTACTTTTAGAGGTCTAGAAAAGTCAGACAGCAAACACTCTAGAGTTGATTAAGACTAATGAGTCTGCATTTGATACGGGAAAGTTATAAATGAAAACTTAGTTTGTTTTAATTTTGTCTCACTGTAATATGTCTCTTTCTATTTATTGCAAAGATTTCCATAACGAATTAAGAAGAGTATTACTTATTAACTCTTTTCTTATTAAATTATTAGTAATCCTTTTTGTTTATTGTATACTATATGCACTATTGCACAAAGGCGGACTGGAATCTTTAAAGTATTCGCATAGAAAAACCAAATATAGTTTTAGCTATTTTAGTTAAAATCAATCAGAAACTAATCATAGTTGCGCCAAAGTTACTGATGTAATGAAATGTTCGTCAAATATTTTATAAGCACAGATTTTTAATTTCAACTTTGAACTCAATATAAACACGTCCTAATTCGCGTAAAATACATAAACAATTTCCGTCGGAAATTCACAACTGAAACAATATTGTGCGGTTTAAATATACATTAATGAAAGTAAAGTCGGCACGGAATGCTGTGTAGCCAACGGCTCTATGAAACTAAACACCTTGTTTCAGTTTACTTAACTATTTACAAACTTAATTAGTATTACAATCTCAGAAAGGCACTTTACTCGAAATGGCATAAAGTAAACATAGAATATGGACAGCGCTAAAAGCCCCTTAACCGCATATAATTTTATTATTAACGTAACAGAGGGCCGCCCTGTGACAGGGCTTGCGACTTTCTTTATTGCTGGGTTTCCTTGGCCATAAATGATGCTCTTGCTTACGCATTAGGTACCTTAGTGACATTAAAAGGATACATAAATCTCTGAATAAGACATACCCAACAATTGTGAACCAATTCATATACTCAAACCTATAATTATCAGAGTAATTTGTTTTTAAAGGCGAAATTATCATCGTTAACGAATGTTTAAATTGTTAAATTAGGAAACTAGTGTCCTCTTTTCTTAATTAATTGAAACTTTTTAAAATAATAATGGCTTATGAATTTTCAGTACAGCCAATCCTATTCCAACTCTACCAACTCTGCGGATAGCAATATTGCTATGAATGCCTTAGTCATTTTGTTTCATACACAATAAAATTATCCCTCCCAAGCCCTCACTTTGCTAAAAGCTTAAAATCGAATCGGGTTCCTTGTCTGAGGGTACTGGCAATTTTATGAGGGCGCTCCATCCAACCATGAGAGAAACCAATTTTATTTCCAATAACTCGCCTTCACTAGGTACTTAATAATTTTCATCTTCATGACATCAATCTGCGTTAGTCTCAACAACCAGTACAAATAATAATTAACCTGGGCTAATGACAAATTACCTGAAAAAGAACAACGCCTAAATTTGC